GTGGCCTAACTCAAGACATTGAGATACCTACTTGGAAGTGGGAAGAAATCAACATGGATTTTGTAGTGGGATTACCCAAGGCTAGAAGAGGCTTTGATTCGGTTTGGGTGGTGGTTGATCGGATGACAAAGTCGGCTCATTTCCTACCGGTTAAAACTACTTACGGGGCTGAAGAGTATGCCAAGTTGTACATTCATGAATTGGTAAGGTTGCATGGGATTCCTTAGTCTATCATCTGGGATCGTGGTGCCCAATTTACTTCTCACTTTTGGAGGTCATTCTAAAGGGGTCTTGGTACAAAGGTAAAGCTTAGCACGGCCTTCCACCCTCAAACGGATGGCCAAGCTGAAAGAACAATTCAAACCTTGGAGGATATGCTTAGAGCTTGTGTATTGGAGTTGAAAGGTAGTTGGGATGATCATCTTCTTTTGATTGAATTTGCATACAACAATAGTTATCATTCTAGTATCGGTATGGCTCCTTTTGAGGCACTTTATGGTAGACGGTGTAGGTCACCGGTTGGGTGGTTTGAAGTTGGAGAGGTGGCCTTGTTGGGTCCGGATCTGGTCATGGATGCTCTTGAGAAGGTAAGGATGGTTAGGGAGAGGTTGAAAACAGCCCAAAGTCGTCAAAAGTCTTATGCCGATGTGAGGAGACGGGATCTTGAATTCAAAGTGGGTGATTGGGTTTATTTGAAAGTTTCTCCAATGAAAGGTGTGGTTCGTTTTGGTAAGAAGGGGAAATTAAGTCCTAGGTATGTCGGTCCTTATGAGATAATAAGAAGGGTTGGTAAAGTAGCCTATGAGTTGGGGTTGCCCAAGGATATGGAATTAGTTCATCCGGTATTCCATGTATCGATGTTGAGGAAATGTGTTGGTGATCCTAACGCTATTGTACCTCTTGAGGTTGTGGGTGTTATAGAAGATAATTTGACGTATGAAGAAGTCCTGGTTCAGATCTTAGATAGAAAAGTTAAAAGGTTGAGGAACAAAGAAGTGGCGTCCGTTAAGGTGCTTTGGAGAAATCAACAAGTGGAGAGTGCTACTTGGCAGGCCGAAGCGGACATGCAAAGACGTTATCCTTATCTATTCAACTCCACTCAAGCCTAAGGTATTAAATCAAGTCCTTTGTACTCCATTGAGTCTGACATTTCAACCCCTGAATCATTAATGTGCATATATGTTTAAATTGATGAGTTATGGATGCTTTACACTAAGTTTTGAAATCTTGAAGTGATGATTAAATAAAAATTTTGCATTCATGTTGGGGCTGATATGTTCTTACTAAGTCTTGCCTTGTACGTCTCTTCCACATTCGGGGACGAATGTTCCCAAGGGGGAGATATTGAAATGACCCAAAATGTTCTTAAAAATGTGCTTCGGAAGTTACCGGAAACTTGTTTAGCTATATCAAAAAAAACCGTTTTTTTTTTAAAATCCAACTTCATATTCTTGTTTAGGGGGTCAAATTGAGTGGAAAATGGGTCTAACCCAAATTTTAGAGCAACCGTATCAAAATCCGAAATTTCCAAGTGAAGCCTTTTTCGAGGGTCTACTTTGGAGGGTCATATCTCCTAGCACACAGATAATTGGGTGGCCCATAACATATCCATGGAAAGACATTGGAGTTATCTACCTAACGCACTTCGTTTCACCTCATTCGGAGTTCGGACGAAGAAGTTATGCCCATTTTCGTAAAATCTGTCTGGCAGGAAATGCAATTTCCAGTGAGCGTTTTTACTGTTCACCCGCCTCATTTTTTTTTCTCAGTGTTGGACCATTTTTCCAAAGGGCATATGTTATTTCCTATATACCATTAGTTCAATTCTCATCTCTAAAACATTTCCCAAAACACCTCTCCCATAATTAGACACATTTTCTCTCAAGTTCTCTCAAGAACCCTAATCCAAAACCTTCCTCAAGATTGAAGAGACTCTTGCTCCAAGTTCCAAGCTTCCATTGAAGACACTCTCAAGACCTTAATAAGAACTCAAGGTATGTGGTGTTGAACTCATGGGTCCTTCCACCCATAGTGCCTAGACTCCATTCTACTCACTAATTCATGGTTTAAGTTAAGATTCATAAATTAGTCTTGTTCTTTGTAATAATTTCCTGCACATTGAATTTTAAACATGAAAAGTGATTGTTTTGAGCATGTTGTGACTCTAGAACTTGAATCTAAATTTGGAATAGATGTGGAGATTTTCATGTGGTATTGTGGGTGTTAAAAGGTGTTGTTGTAGGTTGTTCACTGGTTTGGCTGCATAATTACTACCCTATTTTTCATGCTCTTTGATTCCATTACATGCCTTCAAGGTGTTTGACAAAATGTCCAACTATGGAGAATTGATGAATCGATGCTTTAAAGCTTGAGTTATGAGATGTATGGCAATCCAGAGATGTGTTGATGACAAACTAAGATTGTGTATATGTTCATTCTATACGTGAGATTGCATTAGAGCCTAATGGGAATTTTCTATATAAAGTGTTGCATGACCATGCCCGGTCCGGGGGAAAAGAACCGGACAACCATGTGAGAGGTTTATATCTCACGACCTAGGATGCTTGGGGTGTGACCAACATCAACCATGTGAGAGGTTTATATCTCAGCACCTATGATGCTTGGGGTGTGACCAACATCAACCATGTGAGGGGTTTATACCTTGCCACCAGGGTGTCCGGGTGTGAACAACATCCCCCATCCTAAGTTAGGGTTATAGATTGGTTGGATCATGCATACACATATGATATCTACTATTAGTATAGATTTACTTAAACATGTTTTGACCCCGCATACTTAGTACATTCTAAGTAGTAACGCATATTTTGCCTACATGATGTCACCATGTAGGGACCGGAGCTACTCTTGATCCTTCTCTCCATTCACGTGGCTAGTACGGTGCTTATCCGAGTTTGTTGGTGAGTCCTCAATGATTCGAGGGCTATGTTATGATTCCTACTCCAATGTTTTGAGACTTTAGCTTGCAATTGTATTTTGACTATGAGGGGAGCCGGTAGTATGTCATGGCCCCCGTCCTATCTATGTATGTAGAGGTGTGCGTTGGACAAGTATTTTGTAAATGAGTTTGACTCTTGTTCTATGATGTCATTTTGAAATGATTTTCCCTTAGTCCCTATTTCCCGTTAATTAATGTTGATTGTACTTCCACGACCGATGAAGTGTGATGACAAGTTTGAGAGGCTTGTTTGGGGTTCCTTCGGGTTCCTCATTCGCCATGTCACGTCTAGGCCCTAGGCTTGGGTCGTGACAGATGTATCATGGGTTGATAGGCCTATGGCGTTCCTCCCTAATACACCAATGCATTGGGAATAAAATAATTAATGGGAATGTAGGCTAAGCACCGAGTGGATATAGTTAGATGGAAACTCTCCCAATGTTAGGTTAGAGTTCTAATGAACATCTTCCTATCCCATAACTATGTGCCCACATAGGATATTGGCTAGCGGATTCCATCTCACCTAATGTTATCGTTCTACCTTAGGCAAGTGGAACACCTCTTACGGTGTGGAGTTACATGACACCGGATTCAATGTCTGGCTTGCATGGTCTATGTCGGTTAAATGTTTACTCCCGTCATGTGAGATGTGCACTCCAACTATTTTATAGGTACTACAAAGTGTAGGTAGTAGTATGGGATGTCATCTATACATTGCACAAGTAGGCTTTGAAGGGGCTATAGTGAGTTCTCTAAGTCTTAATGACTAAATGTATGAAAGTCCTATAAATGCGTGAATGTGTCCTAAATGAATCTAATGAAGAATGTTGTCTTAAATGCTTAAGCGTAAAGATGCGTACTATAATTGGATTGTATTATAAGTTACTTCCTTGTCATGTCTATTGTATATGAATGTGCCTTGTCTAGGGTGACTTTAAAGGAGTTCTTAGTGTGAATAGTAGTATGGGATGTTATTTGCACATTGCAAAAGTATGACTTAGAGTTGTATTAGGTGTGGTCTTAATGTGATGATAAGACTCATGAAATTTTTATGTCTCTTAAATGCTTTATTGTGTAAAGGTGGAAAAGATGAATGGTAAGTTCACTTTTGGTGACCTTAAGGTGGTGCCTTAGTGTGGGTGGTGGTATTGGACGCTTCCCATACATTGCAAAAGGTATAACTTGAGGGTTACTTGAGGTGGAGGCTCAAGGTAAATGTAGAGGGTTATATGTGATCTTGTTCTAATGTGAAATGATGACTTGTATGTTGGTTGTGACTTGTATTATGCCTCTCTTATTCAATGTTCATGAAGTTTTACAAAAATGGCATAAAAGCATGACTTTCAACAAAATGTCCCATTTTAAGCATGTTTTTGCATGGTCATCATACTTAGTACATTTTTTGTGCTAACCCATATTTTCTCTTATTTGTACTAAAAGTGTAGGTTCTGGCAAGTGATCGATTCTAGTTAGGAGTTGATGTTCTTGGATAGAGTTTCCTCCAAGACTTGGTTTGTCCTCACAAGTCAAGGACTAGGACTTTTATTGTTTCTAGTTCTTATGTTTTAAGACTTTTGTCTATACTATGATTGTAAAGGGCCGTGACCCTATCATGTTAAAGTTTGTCTAAGATGGTCATGTGAGACTTAGTATTCTATTGCTTTATAAATGTGATTTTGGATAGTTTGGTTTTGAATAAAAAGGTTTAATTCCGCACTATTTCTATATGTTGAATGTTATGAATGCTAAGAGGCTTGTATTAGACCGCTCCGGGGTCGAGTAAGCCGTGTTACGACTAGGGGGTGCTCTCGGGTCATGACAAACTTGGTATCAGAGCATAAGATTTTGGAAATGGTTTTAGGGTTGATGTCTCACAAGCCACGTCTAGTAGATTCTTGTTCATTGGTGTGAGTCGCGACACATCTATGAGAGATAGGCTATAGGACTATAGAAAGTTACACTTCTTTCATATTCTTGAAGTCGTGCCTTAGAGTTTAGCTCTATAAGTGTCATTTTCCTAAGCCTTCTCTTATGTTTATAGGATATGAATACAAGAAGGACGCTCGCAAGGAGAGTGGAAGAGGAAGTAGTGAATGAGGGATTTCCTCGCCAAGGTGATCAAGGTCTTCAAGGTGACCAAGTGCCTCAAGAGAAGGAAGTTCCGGTGGTTCCCTCGGACATGACCAATGAAGAGATTAGGTCAGCTTTTCTAACCCTAGCCCAAGTCATGACGGCTCAAGTTAATAGAGATGTGGGGCCTAGGGTGAATGCTAATGAGAGTACCGTCACCTCAAAGTTGAGAGACTTTGTGAGGATGAATCCTCCTATCTTTCTTGGCTCTAGAGCGGGAGAAGATCCCCAAGAATTCTTGGATGAAGTTTATAAGATAGTCAATGCTATGGGAGTATTTTCTATGGAGAAGGTGGAGTTTGCTTCCTACCAATTGAAAGAAGTGGCCCAAGTGTGGTTCACACAATGGAAAGCCAATAGGAAAGTTGAAATGGGTCCTATAGAATGGGATGAGTTTAAGGGAGCTTTCCTTGGTAAGTACTTTCCCCGTGAGAAGAGGGAGTGTAAGGTTGAGGAGTTTATAAACTTTAGGCAAGGTAACATGAGTGTGGAGGAGTATTCTTTGAAGTTTACCCTATTGTCTAAGTATGCACCATTATTGCTGTCTAACCCTAGAGATGAGATGAGTAGGTTTGTTACTGGTGTATACGACCAAGTTAAGGAACAGTGTCGTACGACGATGCTCCATGATGATATGAATATCTCTAGACTTGTTGTGTATGCTCAATCTATTAAGGAATCTAAACTTAAAAGGGTGAATAGGGGTTTGAAGAGGGGTGGATCCGATGAGCAAGGTCAACCTAGGTTCAAGAAGAGATCTCCTAACCAAGATTCTTCAAGTACTCGGTAGGCTAGTGAGGAGAAAGGTGGTGGGCCTGAATTTTCTAAACATCTTTGCGCCACTTATAGGAAGAGGCATCATGGGAAGTGCCTAGCCGGTACTAGTGGGTGCTATGTATGTGGCAAAGGTGATCATCAAGTGAGAAATTGTCCTACTCTTACGACTAGAGGAAGGGAAGCCAAACAAGCTTCTTATGTTGGCCCGGATCTTGATGCTCCAAAGAATAACCGTTTCTATGTGTTTCAAGCTAACAAGGACAAAGGAGCTAATCCGGATTAAGGTACCGGTAAGTTATAGTTTCTTTTGTTATGATGACGTCCTTTTGTTGTTTCATGATAGCCTTTGTTGGGTTTTCTCCTAAGTGGGGGATTGTATGTTGAATAGAAAGGTTGTTGAGAGAGTGTTGATGTCCTTATCTCTTTCCTTCTATTCCTATTCAAGCTTGTGACCAAGAGTTCCTTGTAGCTTGTTTCATATTCTGTAGTCATGTGTGATATTGAGTTTCCATGGTCTCCTTATTGTTGTGCATGTTCTAGTTGATGTTCTTATTTAAATGAGAAAAAAATGATTTTTCAAATTGTGTTCCTCATGTTCATATGCATCTGTGATGAGTTGCGTAAATGTTTCATGAGTTGACTTATTGAGCATGCTTAAATGTGTTGTTATGAAGAAGTTGCATAATGTGCTTTTATGAGAAAATTGCATAATGTGCTTAATGATATTGAGATAAGCATGATGTTATTTGGAAAAGGAATTACCTCCAATGTAATGAGAAATGTGAAGTTTTGATGCATAATGAGATGGTAGATGTAGTTCTTACCTTCTTGTTGTGTTTTGAGCTTATTGATGTGGAGTTGATGTTTCCTCCTAGTTGTGTGCATTTATATTAATGTTGCATGCATGCTTGTGGGATGCTACCCTTGAGTTGTTACCCCTAATTGTGTTTAAAGTATCATTCGAGGACGAATGTTCCTAAGTGGGGGATAATATAACGACCCTAAAAACCAATTAATAACCAACTACCGAAACTAGAGCCTAACTAGTGAGTGTGTCTTGAGTTTTGATGTGGTTTAATATTGTCCCGATTCATGGTTGAAGGGTTTAGGGATAAAACGTCAAGGTACGACTCCCCATGGACCACCCTAGGGGTCCTTGAGGAGGACCCTAAGCTTTACCCCCAAGGCTGCCCCATTTGATGAAAGTTTGCCAAAGTTTGGTGACCTACAGAAGGGGTCCACGCCCCGTAGGTCCATCAACGCCCCGTGGATGGCATCTGTAGGTCAGGACCCCAAATGACTAGCCACAGCCACCAACCACGGATGACCAGTACGTGGCGTCAACCAAACCACGGTCTGTGGTTTAGTGGGCGTCGATTGGGCTTGTGTTTACGGTCAAGTCGCGGCCTTGGTAGGGTGAATTGGTAAGTTCACCCCAAATACCAATTAATGTGTGGATAGTTACTTTAAGAGTTTTAACATATTTTAAGAGTATTAAAACATTAAAACACTCATTTAGATTTCATCTCTCAAATCAAAACCCTTCCCTCCTAAAAAGTTGTCTCTAGAAACTCCATCGGAGATCAAGGTCAAGATCAAGCTAGGGTTGGGGATTTTAAGGTGTTTCTTCTTCAATTTTCGTGGGGAATCAATAGCAAGGTATGGTGATTGTTCATCTAGGGTTAGTTTTCACCCTAGAGCCAATTTCAAAGAAGTTTCAAAGTTTTCAAGTTTCATGAAAAACCATAGGTTTTACTCAATCTCATGGGTTCTTGCATCTAACGCTTTCAAATGATAAATTATGATTATGTTGATATTTAATTGATGACTAAAGATGAAAACTCAATGAAACCATGATTTCTCTCAATTCCTAAATTGTGCCTTATGAAGTGGGTTTGTTGATTATGAATGAATGTTGATCGATTTATGCTTAGATTGATTTAAATTATTGATTTGTATCATCATCTATGGCTAATTATGGTGAATTGTTGGTGAATTGAGGATTTGTGATCATGGCCTTGAAAGGGAAAGTTTGACCTAATTTCATGTTAATGTAGAATTGTGCATTGAATTGTTGATCCACTTGAAAGGTGGAGGTGTTTACCTACTATGTACATTGTGATCATGGCCTTGAAGGCATAGTGTGAGGAATTAAGGTAATATCATGATGTTGTATATATGAATGTATAATGTGAAGGATAGAATGATGATCATGTATTGAATGTAAATGTGTTATTATTGAAAGGCTATTTATCGATAGACTTAAGTCATCTGCAGCCCCTTAAAGTTGTCCGCATAATTCATTTAAACACCTCAACTAAGGCTTGTACCTATTGAACACCTATGCCCCTTAAAATTGGTACCTATTTGACATTTTTTTGATAATCAACCAAAAATATGATATGTGTGTACTACACTCGTTGTGACGTGGCAATGACATAGAAAAATTATGAACTAAATGATGACTTGTGGCATTGGAGTCAAAAAAAATTATTTTAAAAATAAAATAATATTTTTTTTATTTTAATCTATTTAACTAACTAAAAATTTAAAAAGGAATTTTCTACAAAAACCCACCCACCCACCCACCCACCGCAAGCCCTCATTTTTCTCTCCAGTTCCAAACTGTAATATACCCTACACACAATTCCTCCCTCAATCTATTTTTCAATTGTAATCTTCTTCTCTCCATCTTGTTTTTGTATGAGGAACAAGAATAATGTTTTGCCGAAAAATTATGAATTCCTATCACAATGGCCGGAAAAAAGTGTTATCTGAAATATGTTTCTAAATTACATAACTGATATTTCTTGGATTTGAAGAACACTTCATTTTTGTAACTATCAATGTTAATTAATTATGAATGTTTATTGTTTGATTACATTGACATAAGTTTCTGTTGAGATTGAACCTTGTTGGAAAAAAAATCACCAGAAACTACCGTTCTTAAATTTGATTTTTCTTTTGTTTGGAAAGATAACAAAAAATTATAGTCGTTTAAAAATGATCAAATCACTAGCTTTTTCAGACAATTTTTAAAAAAAATTGAAAACAGAGAAATGAACTCTAAACTTGGCATACATGATTAAACTCAGTATATTCCATCTTATAAATTTATCCAATAAACAACATAGTCGTCATATTGACAAAAAGAACGATCTAAGATCAGATCCAAAGATCTAATTAGATATCTGCATAATCTATTTTAATATATGATGATGAATGGTGGTTAAGTTAAGAAAAAAGAAGGTGAAAAATGCCAAAAAAACTATATTAAAAACCGTTGATTGTTATAATGTTTTAGATGAAAATGTTGGTGGTAAGGGGAAGGAAGAGATAGCTAAAGAAAAGAGAGAGAAGAGAATTGTGGATGGTGGTGACATCACCGGAAATGGGTGGTTTTGGAGGGTTATGGCTAAAGAAGAAAGAAGAAAGAAGAAAGAAGAAAGAAGAAGAGATTTTAAAAAAAAATTGCCAAAAATTGCCCCTTTCACGCGCTGAAGTATTTGTGTGCTCCACTTTTTTTCCATGTCAGCGAAAAGTTTTCAATATACATATTTTAAATAATAAAAGTGTTCAATAGGTATAAGTCTTAGTTGAGGTGTTTAAATGAATTATGCGGAGAACTATAAGGGGCCATAGATGACTTAAGCCTTATCAATATTTACACTCATGAATGATGATGAAAGAATGTGAAGAGTTTCTATAATGGGAATGTTGAATCTAGAATTGGTAGGCTTATGCATCCTTTTCTTATATAATGAATGTGTCTTGACTTGATAAATATGAACCGATAGGCTATGGCATTCCTTTCATATATGAGTGAAGAATGTGTCTTGACTTAATGGCTATGAATTGATAGGCTTCACGCATTCTTTTCATAAATGATCTAATGTAATGAGGACTCTTGAATCGATAGGCTAGTGGCATTCCTTTCTTAATGTGTCAATGTGCCATGAATCGATAGGCTAGTGGCATTACTTTCATGAGTATAAGAATGTATTGAGGGACCCTGAATCGATAGGGTTATAACATTCCTTTCATGAGGACTCTAGAGCTATCCTTGAATGTACCATTGATCGATATGCTTATAGCATTCTTTCCTTGGTAATCATGTCTCATGGGTCAAAAGGCCTATGCCATTCCTCCCTAATACACTAATGTATTGTGAATGAAATCATCTATGGGAATGAAGGCTAAGCACCGAGTGGACATGGTTAGATAGAAACTCTCCCAATTTTAGGTTTGAATTCCAATGAACATCTTCCTATCCCATAACTATGTGCCCACATAGGACATTGGCTAGCGGATTCCATCCGAGCTAATGTTATCATTCTACATTAGGCAAGTGGAACACCTCTTACGGTGTGGGATTACATGACACCGGATTCCATGTCTAGCTTGCATGGTCTATGTCGGTAATACACTTATCCCATCATGTGAGATGTCCACTCTAGTTACTTGATAGGTACTACAAAGTGTAGGTAGTAGTATGAGATGCTATATATGCATTGCACGAGTAAGCTTTGAAGGGGCTATAGTGAGTTCTCTAAGTCTTAAAAACTAAATGTATGAAAGTCCTCTAAATGCATGAATGTGTCCTAAATGAATCTAATGAAGAATGTTGGCTTAAATGCTTAAAATGTAAAGATGCATGCTATAATTTGATTGTATTATGAGTTACTTCCTTGTCATGTCTATTGTATATGAATGTGCCTTGTCTAGGTGACTTCAAAGGAGTACTTAGTGTGAGTAGTAGTATGTGATGCTACTTGCACATTGCACAAGTATGACTAAGAGTTGTCTTAGGTGTGGTCTTAATGTGATGATGTGACTCATAAAATGTTTATGTCTCTTAAATGCTTTATTGTGTAAAGATGGAAAAGATGAATGGTAAGTTCACTTTTGGTGACCTTAAGGTGATTCCTTAGTGTGGGTGGTGGTACGGGATGCTACCCATATATTGCACAAGGTATAACTTGAGGGTTACTTGAGGTGGAGGCTCAAGGTAAAGGTAAAGGTAAAGGGTTATATGTGATCTTGTTCTAATGTGAAATGGTGACTTGTGTGTTGGTTGTGACTTATATTATGCCTCTCTAATTCAATGTTCATGAAGTTTTACAAAAATGGCATAAAAGCATGACTTTCAACAAAATGTCCCTTTTTAAGGATGTTTTTGAATGGTCATCATACTTGGTACATTTTTGTGTGCTAATCCATATTTTCTCTTATTTGTACTACAAGTGTCGGATCTGGCAAGTGATCGATTCTAGTTAGGAGTTG